CCTTTTTAAAAAATCAAAACCAGCCAAATACTTGAGCAGTATGTACATTTATATTTTTGGTGGTGGCTTGTCTTTCAAAAGAAACAGCTTCCTTATTATTTGCCTCAAGTTCTGGTGAAAATGCTTTCAGGAACTAGCTAATAAACAAACAAAAAAACAAGAGAAGTACATTCAAAATACTGATTTACTTTGGTAGAAAATGGCTGTTCTTTGAAGACTGATGAAGGTAGATAAGACCGTTAAAGTGAAATGGGCTATTTCAAATACTCAATATTTCACATAGAAATTTTTAAAAATTATTTTTGTAAAAGAGGTAAGCAACTGCATCCACTCATAGCAATATAATACCTAATAATATGATGACAAAACAGATTCCCATATGGAAAAAACTCTTTTAATTTTCTCTAAATTTACTTTCAGTAATAGTCCAGCACATTTTCCTTTCAGTACAATACTTACCCTTTCCCTATAAGACTATTCCTGGGAGCTACACAGTTTAGGTAATGAGGCAGTTAATTTAGCAGTAACTGCTTACAGTTTTAAATAGACAGTAATTTTTTGCTTTCCTCTTAATGTGCTAATAGTTGTGTCTAAAAATATGCAATTTTTAAAAAGTACCATTTCTGATTTATTATCTGTAACCTTTAGAAACTAATCACATGAAACTACAAAATTAGCCAATGTCTTGAAATCTGTATATTAAAAATAAATTACCTCTCATTTCAAACTTTCACTTATTATTGTACTACCCAATCTTAAAAAAAAAAAAAAGAAAAAGAAAAAGTGGCTCCAAAAATAGTCTTACACCATTCTTTAAAAAAAGGAAACTTTTCCCTTTAACTTTACATCCACTCTAAACCCCAATTCAAAACACATCATATAATTGTCTTGGTCATGGACACTTCCAAGATGAGATTTTGTATTTTGTTCCTATGGCTTCTAGTTATCAAAAAATCCGTACTTTCCTTTACTGAAAGAGTTTGGTCTTGATATTGGTGTATCCCTTCCAGTATTCTTCATCCTCATCTTTGCTTCTGGAGGCATTTCCTCTGGTTCACTATCTTCATCTTCATTAAAAGCTGCTGCTACTGAAAGGGTTTTTGGAGCAAGAGTTGGAACAGTTTCTTTAGGCTTACTTGATCCAAGTTTGATGGCTATAGTTGATACTTTGTTGTCTGACTACCTATGGCAAATCCAAACCTATGGAGATCTTTGCAGGCTCTGTTGGGAGGTCTGCAGCTTCTCCTTCAGCTGGTCACTTCTCAGCGCTGCAACCAGGCTTCTCCTCTCCCACCTTTCCATCTGCCATCTTCCCAGCTGTGGCCTCTTAGGTTTTCTTTAAAGTACCATCCTTGTGCCAGAATCTCCCTAATATAAGCCAGTGTGGCTGTATTAGTTAGCTCTGTTACAGCAACAAGGAACCTCAAATGCTAGTGGCTTACAAATAAAGTTTTATTTTTCAGATATTTCATATAGGCTCTAGACAGCTGCTGATGTGTCTTTGGCAGTGGGCAAACTGGCTCTGCTACATGCATCTTCACTTTCTGGGACTCAGGATGAAAAGGTAGCTATATGTAGAATATGCCATTCTCACGGTACATGAAAAGGGGAACCAGAGTCAAGAACACAAAGGCTCTTAAACCTTTGCTCACATATGGTATACATCATGTTCTACCAGCCAAAGAAGCCCTATTGCTAAGCTCTATGTCAATGAGTCAGAGAATTAGAGAGATTGAATGCACAAGTGGATAATGGCCAGATCTATGCAATACAACTCTGACTCACATGCTCTGCAGCAACCAGCCCAGGAAGCCAGACCACAGCCTCCTCGGCAATCATCCCAGAACAGTTAGGACTTTGTCAATGACTGCCAGCTTCCCAGTTTTTGCTCCTGTTTCCAACTCAAGATCAACCGGAGAAAGCAAAATAGGCTTTCCAAACCAACCACATAAGATGCCCCACTTTGGTGACCAACCTCCAGCTTCCTCCTGCCAACATCCGCCAATTAGAGTAGTCCTGGAGTCTTCCCTGTTTTTCACTATGGAGTTTTCCCACTCCTCTCCCTCTCCCTACCTTTGAATCGCTGACAAGTGCAAGTCATGGTGGTTGATTCCCTTGCTATATAACAAACTCTAAATAGTCTCTGGTTTGTTCTTGTTTGGGTGGTCTTGGTTTATTTCCAGAAAATAGACCCCTCCTATGTCAGCAGGGTAGAGTGAGGAGAAATGATGAAAATCTCATGGCACTGGATAAGGATGAATAATCTTTGAGGAAAGAAACAGTAATGCAGCCTGCCACAGTCCACTCTAGAAATCATGAAAAGTTGCTTCCTTCCTCTCCACACGCAAAATTCCATGCAATGATGAGATCATTCTTGAAATCCAGTTTTCCTGATAGTTTCTACTTCAGGTCTGGACACAGACTAAAATACAAATTAAATACTCAAGGTATATACAATAGTGGCTCAGGAGCAAGGTAAACAGTAACAAATACTCTTTCAGAAGGGGAGTACCCAGAGAGGGCATTAATAACCATTCTAAAGTCCACTATGCAGAAGTTTGAAAGTTTCTTCTGCTACACAGAGGAAATACTCCTGAATAGGGCTTGACTTTTGCTCTCTGGAAGTAGTTTTCCAGCACACTTTCCTCCACAGCTTTTGGATCTAGCTTTCAGGAGGATATTCCTTTTGCATTGTACTTCCTGGCTATGTCTAAAGAGGCCACTGGAAAATATGTCCTCACTCATGGTTAAGCATCCTTCTCAGCCAGTTTCCTATCTATAGAGATGTGAGGGCCCCACAGTCTTGCTTTTATCCTAAATAGAAAATCATTCCCCCTCATACACACACCATCCTGGCATTGTTTCACTACATCATAACCTAAAATCCCAAGTATGTAAAATATATTTTCTATCTTCAAATTATTGTGCACAGCATTTATACCAAATACACATAATTTCATAGCACAAATTTCCATTTTCCCAGTCTTTAAATAAACTTATGATCAAAAGTCAATACTGCATCTTTTGGGGTTTTTGTTATGCAGCATTCCACTTCTGGTACCAATTTCTGTGTCAGTCAGTTTTTCTATAATAACAAATGATTCTCCACTCTTTGGGGCTTGTAAAATAAAAGCTTATTTAGCACTCATGTTACATGTAGATACAGTAGGCTATACCTCCACTGCAATGTCTTTTCCTTCTCAGACCTAAGCTGGCAAAAGAATCTCTGCTTGGCACATGCAGGCCTCATGGTAGATGAAAAAGAATGCCATAGCAAACAATTTACTATCTTTTATCATATCTGACAAAGGTGATTGGCCAAAGTGGGTTGCATTGCCAAGCATAATGCCAATGCAATAAGAAAAAATATTTTTCTAGGAGTTGCAACTGCCATGGGTTAAACTATACAATCTTTTCATAAGAAAAGGGAGGCAAATTTTAGGGAACAGGAAATGGGATGTTGCTAGAAGCCCAGCAGTGAGTCCTGGTCTCCTGTGAGCCATGACAGCACAAGGCAAATCAAATAAAGACAGGAAACAAGACTTAGAGAGAAGCTGGGCTTTGGGCCTGATCAGTGCTGCTCTGGGCAGCAAAGATGTAGGTACCCCGAGTTTACACTGCTTACTGGGTTCATAGGGAGTAACAGATGACTTGGAGGGTGGTCATAATCCTAAATTGACAAGGATCTTATAATTGGAAGAAGTATCAGGTGTTTTGGAGAGTGGCAGTAATTCTATGCCAATGAGGATCTTATGCTGATGAGGATCTTAGGTCAATGAGGAGCTTAGGTTGATTAGGATGGTGAGACGAGCAAAACGTTCTTAGAACAGTAGGTGGGATGAGTTAAGCCAATAACAAATTTGACCCTCTCCAGGTAAAACCTTTCTCCTATTACTCAGTTCTCAAGGAACCAGAATGTCTTCAGCTGATGTGATCTTTCCCTTAGGTGCCACAGTATCATGGGACCACAGAGGTCTCAGTTGTAACTGGAGGCAAAAATGGAGTTATATTTCAGCATGTCATAGCAGACCTGTAGGCAAGAAGGCTAATAATAATTTAACTATGAAATGATTTTCCCTGAAAATTATATAGAATGGCTCCCAACAGCAAATAATTGGAATATGTTTTTTCTCTTAATATTGACAAAACAAGATAATAAATAAATGAGTTTCAAAACTTTTTTGTTTATAATCATAGCTGCCAAAAAAACAGTCTTGTCATCTCCTTGGAACAGTGATGATGAGCTGCTATCTCCTGCTGGGTGAAGCTATAATTTATACTGCCTTACAACTGCTCCTGTTAAAACCTTAAGAAGAAAGAGGAGGTAGAAGCAGAAAAAAAGCTATGTTTGAGATTTGCTTTTGCTTTCAGTTTTGTATCCACTTCTTCTCTAATCATTAATAAACTTGTATTACACATAAAATGTGTAATAAAATGAAAAAAACGTTCCCCATCAACTCTGCTCACTTTCACTTTGCATTCCTAAAGCCAGCAAGACCAGGGAACATTTGGTGGCAGTAGAAGTGTAGGATTACATATTCCACCTGTTCTTTCCTCCTGCCTGCCACTCCTTTGTCACCAGTTCTTAGAATATTACAATTACCCAATGTACCTTAAGAATAAATGTTCTCAATACATAAGAGCAATCTGCCCTACAGAACAGTACCTGAATGGTTAGTCTTCTATTTTGGCCTTGTCTATGGTCCAAAGTTGGAAACAGAGACTCAATTATACCTCTTAAACTAGGCAGGTGCTAGCTCACATATGTCTTTTGGCAAAGTAGGTAAAAGGTAAGGTCTCTATATAGGAAAAAGATGTGTTCTCTAGATAGGGAAGAAGTGTGCTTTCTATGTAGACAAATTAGAAAAAGCATCCCACAACCATGGATAATTTTTTTTAAAATGTTGTGTGCTTTGGCAAATTACTGAAGGTCGCACCTCAATACCCTTACCAAGGAGAGCACATGGCTTAAAGAAAGTAGCTTTCTGGAGCCAGGTGTTGTGGCATTCTTCTATAGTCCCAGCAGGAGGACTGGAAGTTTAAGACAAACCTAGGTAACATAAAGAGACCACATCTATAAAAGAGAGAGAGAGAGAGAGAGAGAAAATAAATGTCTTTACAGGAGCTAAAAAACACATCTCATCAGTCCTAGCAAATGGGCTTTGATTATAGATCCTACTCATTCACTCCTTGAACAAGATACATACAGTATCTTTATCCAGTGTGCAAAAATACAATTATAAATGCATCTGACATTAAGCATGGGACGTAAAACTCTCATGTAAAACTTCTCCACATGTATATTTCCCCCAATATATTTCATTCTCAGCTTTGGCATGCCAGTGGTGAGTGGCTTAATTAAACTCCCAACTGATGTGAACCAGTCACTTGTACGCATTCTCTATTGAGAAAGGAGACTTAAGTAATGCAGTGGTTTGAGCATAATACAGGCTTTCTCTTCCATGTGGGATATGTCAGGTTGAGAATCTTCCAATGGAGTTATATACTTTCTGAACACTCAAACAAGTTGGTGGGCTGGGACATGGGGACATTTTCCTTCTCTTTCACTGTCATTTTGCATTTTATTCTTCTTTCTGGTTCAACCCTCCACATTCAAAACTTTACTGTTTCTTGCCAATTGCAGTAACAGTATGCTTGAAAATGTTTGCAAAAATTTCTCCAGACACCCGCTGTCGACAACCATGTATAAGAAGCTTCTATAGTAAATGGCTCTTGGATTTTGCCATATGGTATCATAAAGAAGTCATTCTTTCTTTGTCCCTCTGCTTCACACAGCATCAAGCTCAGCAGTCAAGATGTACAGATTGATGTCTTGCAACAATCACAAATAGAGTTTTAACAAAAAATTGGCCAATAAATTCAAACCACTTACTTTTGGGAGAAACCAATGTCAAAAGCATTGCCTCAGCTTGAACTGCAATGTGTGTTTTGGTTTTTCATGTTTGCATAGTTTCCACTCTGGTGATGTGTGCTCTGTGTGCAAAAAGAATGGGTGGTGACTTTTTTTTTTCTTTATTTGTTAGCAACGCTGGGGATCAAACCCAGGGTCTTGCACAAGTGAGGCAAATGTTCTATCAATGAGCTATACTGTATCCCCAGCCCCAACTTGTTTTCTTAAACATACCTGGTAATGGGAGAAGCATCCCAAATAAGGCAGAACTACTTATCAGAAGCCCAAAAAATTCTCACAAATGGAAAAAAATATTTTTGGAAAGCTTACTTAGCTCTAAAATTTATCAGTATAATTTGAAAATTGATCTTCAAATGATAATTTTTAAAAATATGCATTCAAAAAAAATTTATTTATTCACTTAGCAGAGGAAAATCAATGTAACCGGTTGTTGCAATATAATCAAAGGGCATTTATATAACATTAATAAAATGGTTTATAAATTTCCAGTGCATTATGATCCTCCTTTGCAATTTTATTTGGCACAAAGCTAGAAGAAAAATTTTTTCAATTGTTGGTAATGGAGAACTCAAATCAAAGTAATAAAAATAAAATAAATTATTGTACATGGCAAGAAGTCCAGAAGTAGAGAGGGTTATAGTGTTAGGTGTGTCCTAGTTTAATGGTGCTATCAATTCCATTTATCTCTCCACTGTTGTTGAGTTTAGTCTCAGGCTCATTGCAGGTGATACACTTTCTCTCAGAAACAGAGAAAACACATCCTAGAAGATCCCTGGAAGCTTCCACATCTCATACCTAAGCCATCTCTTGCAAAAGAAATGAAAATTGCCCCCCAAAAAGCCCTCTGTTAGAGCTGGACAGGCATTAGTTATCCCAAGGCACATGGCTCCATGATATTGGATACTGTTACAAAATTGGGTTTCTGATGGCAAAAAAGAGGAAGTGGATGCTAAATAAGGAACCAATACTTTCCTCAAATAGCTAAATCCACAAGTAGTTTAATAAATCTCAATAGATGTATCATCAAAATTGCTACTGAAATTCTGACTACAAAAATAAAAAGCTTTATTTTTCTCAAGAATTATCTACTTCCTTCATAAGGAATAATTATATTTAAAACAAACTCTTGTACATTCTCAGGGATGCATTTATCAAACACATTTAACCTCATCACAAATTTCTCACTAGTTTTAGCATAAATAATGTGGCTATTTTTAATTGTTGAATCAATACAGAGAATGCTAAAATGCTAAGTGGGAATGGCCAACATGAAAACTTACCAAGTGACTGAAAAAATGTGAATCTTCTCAAAAGATAAGTGAAATATTTCCTGCATACTATCATTTATTATCTATTTTATGTATTTTGTTTTTTTGAGACATAGTCTTGTCATGTATTTCAGGCTGATCTTGAACTCACTATGCAACCCAGACTGGCCTCAAACTCACAGCCATGGTCTTGCCTCAGTGTCCTGAGTGGTAGGATTACAGGCATGCACCACCACATGTGGCTCTATTATTTCTTTCTGATGGTGCAGCTGCTGGCTTACATACATATACTTTTTTAATCCTCTGTTTGTATTCTACATGTTATCTAGGCAATATAATACCTTGATACTAAAAGTGCACAGGTTTTCGACCATCACTGTCAGCTTGTTAGAATGCAAACTCTCAGGATTCACCCCAAATCTATAGAATCTGCATTTAACAAGATTTCCATGAAATTCAACTGCACCTTAAAGCTTGAGCAGCTCTACTGTGATATATGTAGCCAATCTCTTGGCTCTTGGTACCTGAGGAATACATGCATATACATAGTGGGAAATCTAGCAACTGTATCCATGATGTGTAATCCACATCACTTTAGTTTGTAATTTGAAAAACCAAATGAATATCATGGATTCAGAAAACAAAAGTCTTCATCTCTTATCTTTGTTCCATTAATGCAAATAGCAAAACCGTTTTTAAATTCACTGGCTTAGATATGAAGGGTATCAGAATAATGTCTGATCTCTTCTAATAACATTGGGATATTTGCATATGGGTTTGGTGGTACATAGTGGGAAAAGTAAAAATCAGATTTTTTCACTGGAGTCACTTAGATAAATACTGGTATTATTTCTACCAAATCTGGACTTGGGGCAACATGGAAGCCCACACATGGCTAGCGCTCAATAAATACTCCATATTAATTTTTTAAAGTGATAATAAGGCTACAGTTACACACTGAAATCTGTCCCTATGGTTTGATCATTTGGACAAGTACAGTATGTACAGAGCCTTATCTACCCCACATCTAGCACACACCCCTTCTTGGCATTTCTCTCATTTCCTCGAAAAGCCTTTTCTAGACAAACTTCAGATCAGAAGCCAAAGAAAATTCAGCTCAAATTGCCCTACTCCCCATGGAGCTCCCAATGACTGAAGGCTTTCATTCCCTTCTCTCCCACATTAATTCTGGTGTGTATTACTCACCATCCACGTTTCCCTTGGTTTCACAATGAAAATGTGCCAGGCTAGTCTAGACTAAGTAAGTAAGCTGCTATTTCATCTTTATGGCCAGTTGTTTTACTTTGCTGTTTTGTTTATTATTATAGTTGTTTTCTTTTATTGCACATTTTTGAAGAAAACAACAAGCATAGATTTACAAAAGTATGATAAAATTTATAAATGTAAGATATACCAATATGTAAGATATACCTGCTCTTTATCGCCTTGCCTTCCCACACACATGACTTGTGCAGTGTTTTATCTTCTTTTCTCCTACATTCAGTCCTATATATGTTCACTGTCTTTCCTCTGGACAGATGGATCACGCCACCTGTTTTACAGAGAAATAAGAAGTTCCCAGAGAAAATGAAACTAAAGTTTTTGTAAATAGGGAAGGGAGGAGGGGGTGAAGGGAGGGCATGGGTATGGGGAAAAAATGAGAACCAAGACCTGTCATGTAAAGGTAACAAGATCCCAATCATGAATGTAACTGTACTGTATACCTAAAACGTACCAATAAACTCAATGAGTTAAAAAAAAAAAAAAAAAGAAGTTCCCAGATGAGAACTCTTTTGGTCTCTGGCCTCCAACTCCAATTTTTGTATACTCCTTTCCCTAGTCTGGAGTGGGCTCTACATCTTCTCTAAGTCCATGCTCATCCCTTTGGCTCTACTCTTGATTCCTTCTATAGTGGGTTGAATGATAGTACTGAAAAATATATATCCACACCTTAATTCCCAAAACCTGAAAATGTTACCTTGTTTGGAAAAAAAGACCTTGGTAGATGTGATTAAGGTAAGGATCTTGAGATGAGGAGAGCATCCTGGATTGCATCAGTGGGCCTTAAGTTCAATAATAGGTGTCCATACAGAGGAAAAGTAGAAGGAGATATGAAACATACAGAAGAGGAGAGGACACAGATGCAGAGAAGGCAATACAAGAGTGAAGCAAAAATGGAAATGATCACATGTTAAGTTGAGGTATTCCAGCACCACCCACAACTAGAAGAGGCAAGGAAGGAGTTTCCCCCACTGCCCAGAGTTTCAGGGAGTATGTCCCTGCTGATGCTTTAATTCCAGACTTCTGGCCCCCAGAATTGTGAAAAAAATAGTTTTAAGCCACCATGTTTTTGGTAATTGTTGTGCTAGCCATAGGAAACTAATATCTCTTCCTTGCCAGAGTAGGATGCTTCTCTAGCAATTAGTTCCTTCTCCTATATATTGCATTTTCCCTTAGCCATACTTCCTTGCAATTATCTTCCATCTTAAAAAAATTTTTTTTGTTTTGTGAATTTTTAAATTCACCTTTCTCCTTTCCAGGTAAGCACTTTAAAAACTTATCTACGTGTTTTATTTCCTTCATTAGCCCCCTGACAAATTTCATACTGCTGCATTCAAATTTCTTAACACTATCTGTAACAGTCATGATATGTCAATTTGACTGGATTAATAAACACCTAGCAGATTAATAAAGTACGTTTCTGGGTATGTCTGTGGGGTATTTCTAGAGATGACTGGCATGTGGGCCAGAAAATTAAGGAGTGAGAACCTACCATGGTTGTGGGTGGCACCATACAATGGGTTTGCATCCAGGTGAAATAATAGGGAAAGAAAGAGGAAGTTTGCTGCTTCTTTTTTTTTTTTTTTTTTTTTTTTTTAATTCCATTTTTTTTTTTTGGAAATTCCAGTTATCTTAAGCAGCTGTGTCTTTTATTGCTGCCATTGTCTGTGGATATTAGACTCCAATTTCTTCAGCCTTCCAAAGCAGACTCATACTAGCAATTCTCCAGGAATTCTCTAGGCCTTCAATCTTGGGCTGACACTGTATCCTCAATCCCTCTTGTTCTGAGGTTTCCACCTTTTTGAGATGAACATCTAGTGGATCCTCTGGCCCTCTGGTACACAAACAGGCATTATGGACTCTCCCATCTTAAGGCCTAACTATTAAAAATAATAAATTCTGCTCTTCTAGATTTTTTAGAGTGAGGCCATTCCTATGACTGTACCTGTCCATGTGGTTTAGAAACCTTTGGAATTGGCTAACTTGTTTGTGGGATGAGTTTGGAAACATTTGGCGAATTGGGCTGCAGAAAGCTTAGAAGGCTGTAAGCAGATCTTAAACGATAATTCTGGTGGGAGCTCAGACCAGAATACTGAATAGGAATTTAGACACAAACACAAACATGGTGTTTGCTTCAGGTTTCAGACAGGAACAAGAACTCTATTAGGAAATGGACTAGAAGCCATGGGTGTTACATACTGTCAAATAACTTGTCTTCATTTCTGCCCATGTTCTTAGGCTTTGATCAACACCATGATCACACACTTCTAGCCTCTAGAAGAGTGAAATAAATTTCTATCCAATCTATAAAACTTTCTTAGAGTCATCTAAACAGACCTAAGTAAAACAGATAATATCTCCCTCTGGGTCCAAAGAAGATATGTTTCCTGATGAGAATAATAAAGCTAATTTTTTCCTCGTGGATAAAGGCTGAATACTTTACTAGCAGTTCCTTTAAAAGATTGGGAGGTCCCTTTATGCAAGGTTCCTCAGCTCCAAGAGACCACTACATGGTTAACATTTACCATAGAAGACTTAGAAAATAAGAATTAATATAAACATGAAGCTCATTCTGCTTACTGTCTCAAAAGTAAGCACATGACTATTTTTATTTGGTTTACTAATTCCTTATCCACTGAATTTATGGAAGTGTGTCCAGTCAGCTTACCAGCTGAAGTGTCACTACTGTTTAGAGACAGCTGGGCCACTTGGTGACTCTATGCTTACACAGAAAAGGAGAGAGGAAAATGGCCAAGGTGCTGCATTAACAGTTTGGCACTGAGTTAGGAGAAGCTGGAAATGTTTGAGTAGAGTAAAACCCCGAAAGCTTCAACTGGTGGGTGACCAAAAACAGAGGTAGAAAATCTTACATGCTTTCAGGTACTTCAGTCAGCCAGGCACTCACAGATTTCCGTGTCAGAAGGCTGAACAGAAATCCACTTGTCATGTATGAATCAAGAGGTCTGACTCACAACCACTATGCCCTGGCTTCCTGCTGCCCACAGTGGAGAAGCTCATTGGTTGTTTGTGTTGAATCCAAGATCAATAAAAAAATAAAGAAAAATGATCTTTCTCTACTATTCTGTATCTAAATTAAGGGCACTATTTGCCATCCTTCAAGTAAAAAATTGGGGAATCATTTTTTATCCTTCCTTTTCTTTGATCTTCTCTTGTAAGCTATTCCATCAAATTGATAATAAAGTCCTGAAAATTCTCAGTAATATCTCCTGGTGTAAGTCCCTTTGTCACTGTCCATTTGTATGGTGTAGGTTATTGGTTGTTGTCACTTTGCACCCGAACGCTTGCCATAGCTAACTAACCCTGTACTCTTGCCATAGTTCAAGTTTTGCTTTATTCAAATGATGATCCACTCTAATGCTAAATTGATCACACCAGATCTTTGCCTAGAACTCTTTCTGGGGTCCTAGACATTCCACAAGATAAAATACCTGTTGAAATATGGCATGTACAGCCCAGTACCATCTGGCTTCTCTACAACTCTAACTTTATCTCTCTTCATCATAGTACTCCAAAGAACCAGAAACACTGAACATGCCTTTCACACCTTTGTGTCTTTTCTTACTACTTTACCTTTCTAGAATGCCCTTTCTCCTCCTCCTCCAGTAAACATCTCAGCTTTCAGTGTATTTCACGTATAGATGAGGCCTGCCCTATGGAATTTTCTTAATACTCCTTGGCTCCTGCCTTGGGGCTCTGACCATATTCTATTCACAATTACCAAAGCACAGATATCCCTTTTTTTTTTTTTTTCAGTTCCGGGGATTGACAGATATACTTTTTACAGTTATAGGCTCACCTTTGTCCTTTCCATACTACATTTTTAATTAATTGAAAAAAATGTTATATATTCTCGATGTCTAGCACCCTCCATGGTGTTGGCCAGTAAGCACTAAAAGAATACCTGCTAAGTATGTTAAGAATGAATGGTAGAAGAATATGACTCTTGTTTGCTGCTTTAGAGTCATGTTGGGTATACCAGAATGGAACATAAATATGGCACTAATTTTATACATGGTAATAAATTTAAAACAGTTTAAATTAAAACAATTATAAACCATAGTGAAAATGTTACATTAATATTTAACATAAAGCAGTTGAAGAAAGCTTGAATATGATTTGGTCTACTTTGGGCTAAGGCCCACACTTCTTTAGGGAAGATATGCAGTGTTCACGTTCTCTATCACTAAGTGCACTTTGGTGTAAAAGTTTTAGAGATAATTTTGGAATATTGTAGTTATTGTAATAATAGGGAATTCATGATGTGGATATTAGACAAAAAGCAAAGAGTCTGCATAAATGATGTATATGGCTGTTGTGTTCTGAATGTTCTAACCCTAACTCAAGTTCATATGTTGGAATCTCACACCCAATGTGACAGTGTTAAGAGGTGAGGCTTTTAGGAAGTGATTAAGTCGAGGGCCTCCACCCCCAAGAATGGAATTACTACTCTTATAAAGTGAGGTGCAAGCAAGCACTCTTACCCTCTTCTGCCATGTGAGTATACATTTTTTTAAAAGTGCCAGTATCTATCAATTTAAAATAAAACAAAGATTAAAAACAAAAAAGTGCCATCTTTGAAGCAAAACATCAAACCTGCTGGTGCCTTCATCTGGGACTTTTCAGTCTCCAGAACTGTGAGCAATAAACTTCTATCGTTTACATATTATCTAGTTCAAGGTATTTTGTTAACACTAACACAGCTGGACTAAAACTTAGGCACTCAAGCCAACAATGCATGAAGGTCTGGATGTATACCCAAAATGAATTCCAAGATAATTATTTCCAAAGTGGGGGAAAGATTCACCATTGATTTCTCTTAAATAGCAACATCTCTAAAATTGCTTAAAACCTAATTCAAATTATAAATATATGATCCCCAAAACTTTTCATAAATATGAAAATTTTTAATCCTTATATTTCAGATCAAGTTTAAAATCAGTGGTAACAATTTAGAGGCAAGACCTAAGCTCATACTCTGGACCCCAGCTTTGCTTTGCACTCTTGCTTCTAATCCATAGAATATTATCATGTAAACCAGTGAAGGTGAACTACGAAGTTTCTATAAATCCTGAATTGAAATACAAATGTAAATTTTAGAAAGAGCTGAAAATTCTTTTGCAACACAGAATACTTTTAAGCAAAGAATATCAGGTTTCATCTACTATAGGATTTTTTAAAATTCTTGATAAAGGAATTGTCAAAACAAGTTTATCTACAATACAGCAACTTTAGATTCTCTTCCAGTCGCTTAAAAATCCACTTGGACACAAATTTATGTGAGTGTGTACATGTGCATATGTTGTGTGTGTTAGTAATTATGTATATAAAGTAAATAACTTTGCTGCTATATGACACCTTTTGAACCACCAATAAATAATCTGAGTGACCACAGAATTAGGAAACAAAAGCAATTTAAAACCTAAGTGTGGATGCAGCTGAAAAAAATTAGTTCTCAAAATTCTATCTGGGGTCAATGCAAGAGAAAAATCTGAGAAATTTCTTTAAAAGAAATAAATAAAAGGAAACAGAACATTGCAACTTCAGAGCTCAACTCGTGCCTAATCTCTTTGTGTGGGATTTTTTTCATTCCAACAAGTACCTCCCAGGACAAACATAACAGTAATTCCTAAATCATGTTCCTCTTCTGGAATAGTCAGTAATAAACATATCCTTCCGTAAGGAGATACGTGGGTTATGGCAAAACACACTGTGTATCTCCTATTCTCAAATCTAAAGTGTTGATCCAGATAGTAATCTAGTGAAAACAAACACTAATGGCCACCTTGCTAGGGAAAAGAGAGGATGCAGAGATAACAAAAGAACAAGTGATTTGGGGAATAGGAAAGTGGAGAAGGAATTCTTGTAACTGGTTGAAGACTGGGCTTTATGTACAGGTCATTGCCCTTTTCAGCACTGACATGTAGGTGACACTTCTTTGCATGTTGCCACTGCCTCACTGACCTCAGGAAGCTGTTTCTCATGGCTTCGACATATGAGCCCACAAATGGTCACATCCTTATTATAGCAACATCAGAAACTCTTTTCATGGTATATATGGTATCGGAAAGACATTTCAAATTCTATTCCTTCTGCATTCTATGTCTCCAGGAAACCAAATTTACTCTGAACCTGACAAATGCATATAGACTATGAGGTCTTTAAAAAAATACTCAAATAACTAGAATATCAATATTTTGTAGACTGCCTTGCTCTCCTTTTGTCTTTTTATATGTATTGCTAAGTAATTTCTGAGCCAAAAAGAAGGGAAGCATCATCACTATTATGCTATACTCTAGAGAAAAAAACAAAGACAGGAACCTCCGTTCCCAGCCAGTTGGGTTTCTACCAGCCATCGTTCAGTCTTCTAAAAACACTTTTCATGTAGTACGTATTTGAAGCTGTAAGGAAGGTACAAGTGCTAAAGAAAACAATGAAGTGACCTGGTACTCTGTGAATTAAAGGGAGGTGTTTCTCTGGGACCACCACTGTACCTGCTATGTTTTACTGAAATTCAATCCCCACTTCTCCCCACTCCTCACACCTGGGAGCTGGTTAGCAAAAACATGCTTGAGTCATGTGTGCAAAAAGTGTTCACAAATATCCATCTTGGTTCCCAGGCAAATAGGTCTTGTAAATCTCTATGGGTTTTGCTGTAGAACTGAATTTAGGCCTCACTGCAGGCTGGAAGTATATAAAAATGCTTGTGTTTTAATTAACACACACACATAGTTTAAAAAGATATTTGGCAAGGCATTTAGTTTTTAACATTTGTGAAATGCAGCCTAACAGTGTTCTTACTGTAGCACTGCCTGAAAGTGATCACTTTCCTGTACTTTTCCTATGACAAATTTATTTTCCCTATATGCTTTTATTGGCTAGAAGCTCTGGCACGACTTGACTGACAATGAGCCAGAAGATCTTAGTTTTGGGAAAATGCACAGTTCTCAAGCCTTGATGGGTAAGAGCAAAGCAAATGACACACATTCAAGCAGACCTCTGTGTGTTGGCCTCATCAGTTCATGAAAGGACATTAACAAACATGGTATATGATCCCTATTCAAGTTGGTCAGACTTATTTCAGGAAGAGGCAGGTATCTAAGAAAGTATGGAAATGCCCAAATCTTCATGAGGCCTAAAATCAGAATTGGCACTATTGCTTCATTCTTTTGACAAAAGAATTTATTGCAGGCCACTCTGCAATAAAGGGGCTATAACATAGATTCTACTATGTAAAGTATCATAAAGTCATATTGCAAGGTACTTTTTTACTGGAAGTGACCAGTTTTTATCTATTATTAATATATTAGTCAGATTCCCATTACTATAACAAAATACCAAAGAGAATTAACTTATCGAGAGACATTATTTATTTTGGCTAGCAGTTCTGGAAGTTCTACTCTAAGATTGGGGCAGTACATCATGGCAGCAAGAGTATGTGATGGAACAAACTGCTCCACTCATGAAAAGGCAAAGAAATAAAGAAGAAAGGTCCAGGGTCACAGAATCCCATTTAATCCCATGGCATACCCCAAAGACCTAAAGACCCTGTGTGAGGCCCTGCCTCCCAGAAGACCCACTGTCTTCTGTAAGTACCACCCTAAAAACCAAGCCTTTAAACATAGACCTTTGGGGGACATTCATCTAAATCATAGCCACTCAAATCTTTCTGCAATAAAGTGAGTACATGGTCCCCTTCCATATTGCAGTCCAGCAATCGCGGGTCAAATCCTCCTCATCATACCACTCTGACACTGATTCTCTTCTGCTTCTCATTTTTATGGTTAGAGACTCACGTGATTACATTGGACTCACCCAGATAATCCAGAATAATCTTCCAATTTAAGGCCAAGATGATTAGCGAACTTGCTTCTTTCTTCTACCTCAACTTCTGTTTTTTGCCTGCAAGAAATAATACATTCATAAGTTTCAGGGTTAAAAGGTGGACATTTTGGGGGAGAAGCTCTGTGGTGAATGCTTATGATACGAAGCAGAGGATTTTAATGAAGACAAATTGCATCTTCCCATGCAAATTCTAGAAATATCAATTATGTCAACATTGAAATGTATAAGAAGGTACCCAGTTATATTAACTATAAGAAGGGTGTCTTTAAAATGTAAATGGAATATTTCATATATTCTTCATAAACTATATGACACATGCTTAATTATTCATAGGTATCTTGATTTATTACAACCCCCCCAGCAAACTCACTACTTCCTTCTATCCCTAACCCTTCGCTTATTTTCTTTTTTTCTTTTTTGGTACTGGGGATTGAACTCGGGTCTTTGCGCTTGCTAGGCAGGCGGCAGAACCACTGAGCCAAATCCCCAGCCCGCTTCACTCTCTTTCAAAGAAGAGGAGAATAAGTGCTTCTAATTTTAGGAATTGAATTTATTATAATTACTAAATAAAGATGAGCAACATTAATTAGTTTTTGCTCTCAAATTCGAATAGTTTGACACAAAAATGCTTCTGCCCATTTGCAAGTTATGATTTGAAGGGCATAAGGATTATTTAATTGCTGTCACATCATTTTCTATCCTCGCAGAATAGCGATCATGATCTACTCCAGTAAATAGCAAGATATGGAGAATGGAAGCAGTCAGAAGAAAAGAAATACCTAATTTTGAAAATCAAGAAAGAGAAAATAAAAGATCTAGAAAGAAAGAAGAATGTTTCAAATTAATGGAAAAAAGCATTAATTTCATAGGGGGACCAAATAGCGGCTGCCTTTTTAAAAAATTGACTTTACTGGTACATTTTAAGTATGCATTATGACCACATTCATCACTGGGAATTTGTACCTCTATATGATATATCTTAATTCTTAGGGATATGGCTCAGTACAAAGGCCTTGAGTTCAAGCCTCAGTACTGAAAAATATTTTAAAACTTTAAAGTGTCACATCTCATTTCCCCTAATCTACAAATCCATTGTCAGGCCACTCTCAGCTTACTGCATTTTCACAAGATTGCATAGCTTATATATTCATCACCTCCCTGTGTAATTCTAGAATGGTTCCACTCAATCACTGGCAAGCAAATAGTGTGACTATATCAAGAAACTGTGATCAACCAAATTATTTTCCTTCAACAAAGAGTAAGTAAAGGGGTGATCTCTTCTGATTTTAATCAACACCTTTTTCTTATCTCACAAAACAATTTTAAAGACATTCAGAAAAGCAGGTTTGGGGCCACACCAGTATCAACAAGGCAAATTACTGATATCGATGTTGCACTCAAAGGGCTGTTATTAGTGACATATTATCAATTTAGAGAAACTTTCCAAGCTGTGTTTCACAAGAATTAACCCTACAATATAACATAGTTCTTATCTTTACTTGTGCTGGTAATAAAAGTATTGAAAATAAGTAAATTATTATGTATGTACAGTATACTGCAGGTGTGTTCTGTAAAGATAGGCTGAATTTCAAATGACTCTGGTAAAACTGGTAAATTTCGTATAAAATGAAATCAAAAGTAGAAAGAAAAAAATGTACACATTTAGAAAATACTATGGCTTAAATATGGCTTGTCCCCATTGAAATTCATGTTGAAATTTAATCTCCACCACGAATATCAAGAAGTAGAACCTTTAAGAGGTGATTAAAGCTTTGCGCTCATAAAATGGATTAATTCATGTGAACAAGTAATGGATTACTGGGGGGTTAACAGGTTGTCTCTAGAGTGGGCCTGCTCTAAAAGTCAATTTGACTGGGACTCTGCATCTCTGTCTCTCATGTGAGGCCTCGCCCCACCACAGGACTTTGCAAGGAATAAAAGGGATCACCAGATGTGGCCCCTCAAGCTTGGACCAGAACTGTGAACCCAAAATAAACTTCTTTTCCTTTACCCATTGTGACATTAGCAGCATAAAATAGATTTTAAAAGAAACAAATAACTCAGATGTGGAAAAAAGTATAACTGACAGAAGAACCTTAAGTACAAAAGAAAACAGCTGGAAACTAAGTGGCTAGACCTGATGTGACCAGGAACTGAATGAATATTTAGCAACACAACACCCTGAGTCATGGTTCTTAATCACAATAAATTTTGCCCCACACGGCACTTTGGCAGCATCTGGAGAGATTTTTGATTGTCACCACTGGGCTGAGTGCTATGGGCATCTAGGGAACAGAAACCAGGGATAGTGCTAAACATCTTAGACACAACAAAAGCACCATGAACAACAAAGAATTATCTGGTTCAAATTTTTAACAGTACTAAGGTTGAGGAAAAAAAATTAAAAAATTATGTCATACAGGAATTTATTAAATAAATGATAATAGGCATTTAAAGTTTCCCCTCAAACATACTTTGTACCACATTATTATTGGAATATTGTGCCTCATTTAGGGTATTACCCCTTTTAAATGTATAAACTGTGAATAATTGGAGTCTACTATGATTGCCCATGTTATATTCTTCTTGTGCAAGTAATGTTTTGCTATAAATCTGTCTGTGATCTATTTAGAAGATCTGGCCATAATTCATGCCTTTTTTGAAGCTGAATTCTGTGTCTCAGATTACTGTCAAGATAAACCTAACATGCCTGGATTTTAAAATGTTTCACAAATACACTGTCTGATACGCAAGCTAAGGAAGAAAACTAAAAGTTTACACTGAATATTCTGGAGAATTAAGTTAGTTCTCAATCATGTACTAAAAACATCTCTAAAAATTAAAACATACAGAAAAATATCAAATGCAGTACAAATACAAATAATGCAAAACTCTCAACAAATGAGCCAACACTCTCAGATTACCAAGATCAAACTACGACAAAGGCTCCACTCGTTTTTAGTAATATGCATTTTAAAGTTAGAAATGTAGTAAAAATGAAGAGTGAAGGATTCCAAAGCAAATAAACAATCTTTAAGTCACTTTAGAGTAGACACCAATTTAAAAAAGAAATAAGGTTCTAGAAGTGAAGTTAAGAGTGATCATATTGAAGAGTGGGAAATGACAACCAAGTTTCTGTGGTGAAAAGAGTTTATTTTTGTGAGACTACACTGAATAAGATGACACAGTGGAACCATTTTTGTGTGGTTTTATTCATATTTCCATTGGGTAGGAATCATACCGGTCCCACCATATGCTTTGCAGCCAAATATGACAAAATGTGACTTTAAGCAAAAAAAGAAAAGTATATACATATATATTATTATTTGTTGTTTAAATTTCAAAACAAATATTACACTCAGAATAAAAACCACACATTAGTTAATTATTGAAAACACAGCTAACTACATATAAGCATAGCTTCAGTCTAAACATTTTCTTTATATTCCTTGATGAGAAGTTTTAATTGAAAATGTTTTAATTCATTACCCAGCTCTATTTTACAATCCATTAAATTCTACCCTTATAATACATAGTCTGATAATAAAAAGGGCATTATTTGTATTTTTGTAATGCAATACAATCTGGAAACTGAGAAATATGTGAAAAATCTTCCAAAAAAATCTCTTTAACTCATAGCCAATAGTTTCAACCTCCTTGCTCACAAAATCTTTTTCCAGAAACATCAGTACAAAAGCTTAGAATTTTAGATCCTTCTTAGGATCTTCTTACACTTTTATTCTGGAGACACTGTAGAAAAGCAAGAACTAATAGTGTCAACTTATCAATATTTACGAATTAACCATTTTTAGCATTATTTTCAGATATCAGCAGTTTTGGGGTTTTTTCCCTATTTTTAAATTTTTGTATTTTACTAGTATATGTTTGCAGTACATGAAATTTACATTCATCTTATGGCATAGGTGCATGTAGATAGCATCCTTAATTCTTTTTTAATCTGCTTCCCCTTCCGACCCACCTGTCTCCCTCAGTCTTTCTAAGCTTTCTTTCCAGTTCTGGAAAATTCCCTGCCATAGTTTCATCAAACATAGCAATTACTACTTCTCTCTATTTTTTCCATCTCCTTTACTCAAACTCATGAGACAAATGTTAGACCTCCCATGGTTTCTTTTCAGATGTTTTCTATTAGCACATGCTTATAGTACATAATAATTGCATTTATTGGGGGGTTGTAAATCTATATAACACATCTTAAGTCATTTTTTGGCCCTTTCCTCTCGAATTCCTCCCTGCTCTCTCCAACTCTTCATCCCCTTCCCATTGTAAAAGCTCTATTTCTCTATTTCCATTTTAATTTTTAAAAGTCCATTTTCCTTTCCTTCTCCCCTCCCTCCATCTCTTGCTCCCCTTCTCATTTAAAAAAGATTAAAATAAAAGACCCTATCAACAAATGGGCAACCAAAATGAAGATACTTCTCAGAAGAAAAAGTACAGAGGCCAGTGAATACATGAAAAAATGTTCAATATTTCTGGCCATTACAGTAATGCAAATTAAAATAACACTGAGATAACCACCTTGCTCTGGAAAGAATGGCTATCATCAAGAAATCAAGTACTGTAATAACAAACACTGGCAAGCCTGTTGTGGGGGCTTCAGCATTGTTGATGGGAACAAACTAGTTCAACCACCATGGAGAACAGTATAGAGATTCTTCTGTATGTTTTTTTAATTCTTATTTTTTACTCCCCCACTCCCGACTCTATGCTACATCCCTGTCTCTTCAGACCTACCTTTCAGTTCACCAGTTCTTTCTTCAAAGGTGCCTAAATACATTTTAACATATTGTATTAGTTAGGACTCTCCAGGAAAATAGAATCAATGGATGACAGATAGACAGATGATCGATCGATAGATAGATAGATAGAAAGAAAGAATAAATTAGCTCACACAATTATGGACACTGAGAAGTCCCACAATCTACTATGTGCATGATAGAGAATCAGAAAAGCCAGTGGTATAATTCAAAGTCCAAAATCCTGAGGCCCAGAGCAGGGGCTTATGGTGTAAGCACCAATTTGAGTACAAAGGC